GGGGGGGGGGGGAGTCCGGTTCCCTACATTCCCCCTTTCTATTTCCCCCCCCCCCCCCCAAACACGCTCTCTGCTGGAGCGTGTGTGAGAGGGAAGCGGAAGTAGAGAGCCTCCCCTGCGAGGTTGCCAACGAATGGTATGCGATTCTGTTATGTAATATATATATTTCTATCTCAAATTGAGGTTCAAACATTTGTTACACTTCCAAGATAGACTTAACTTCAAATCAACAGAGTTGCCATAATAAATTCATCATAACTTTTCGAGATTAAATGCTATGATGAAAATTCTTGCAGATTCTGAAAGCTGAGGTCTTTCTCGTTCGAACGGTATGCGATTCGATTATGTAATGTATATATTTCTATCTCAAATTGAGGTTCAATCATTTGTTACACTTCCAAGATAGACTTAACTTCAAATCAACAGAGTGCCATTGGTTTGAGCGAATGATATTTCGGAACTCAATCTTACAATCATGGACATAACTGGTGGAGACTATTTTCCCCCTATACCAAATTCGCATATTTTTATGATAAACTCCATGTTGAATCGTGTTGCCCTTCTTTAAAAGCCCCCGTTCCCTCAACTCAATTAATGTTGAGCTTGTGTCGTGGTATATTACCAAAAGTTGTTTCGGCGTTGTTTACAACATTGAACTGGGGGAACGGGATATAAATAACTTTGTCATGAATATTGGCTGGAGTGGTCTCAAGGATTTTGTTCAAGATTGTAGTTTCTTCGATATCTGTATAATCACTGTATGTCGTATACGACCACGAATGAAATATAATAATCACCTATTCGACTTGACCTACACTGCATAGTAATTAGTCTTCTCATGTGAAAAAGCGCTGAAATTATAAACAGTACTCTCTGTCGTACATGACGTACAATCAGTCTCAAACTCATCAATAATTCACTGAATAAATTATCAGCCCATGTAAGGTAATCCATGCACTCCTCGGATTCCGGATTCCTCTCTTCACGCGCGCAATATGATATAAACTAGAAGTTACTATCGCAAGGTAGAGTGCTGCCTCGGGCAGGTTACCGCTGGGTATTTTGTTTGGAAAGCTGATAAATTACGCAATCAAAAGATGTAGGCAAATAGCTAGTTTTTTTAACTTTTTTAGTGGCTGGTCAACACATTTACCACATATCCCCGAAACACGCTATATGTACATACATTCAGCGTATTAAGCGTAAAAACATGGCCCAGTATAACGACAGTTTGTAATGTCAGATTTGTAATACGCAAACTATTCCCTATTTAAAGCATTTATGATAATACGATTGATTTGATATCGCTGACACTTGACATATAAATATAGCTTTACAAAACGACGTTTTACGTTTATATACTCCCGACCGGCCTTACAACTAACTCTCCTCTGTTGATTTTGAAGATGACATGATCGATCTGACCACCATCTCAGATCTTACTTTAACCGAAGGAGAAGTTCGTTATGTACTGCGAAATCTTGACGAAGAGAAGGCAACTGGTCCTGACAAAATCCCAGCTGTATGGCTAAAAAACTGCGCGGAACGCACAAGTTGTTACAGGTCTGCAAACAAGTTGCTACAAATCTGTTCACAAGCTGTCGACAAGTTGTGTTCGCACTGCTTGTTCCCAGTTGTTGTAACAAGTTTGGAACAAGCTGTTAACAACTTGTAACAAGCTTAGTGGCATTATCAGACTTGTTACAAGGTTCTAACAAGTCTGATACAGTCATGATATAACAAGAATGTTACAAGGTTGACGACACAAGGTTGTAACAATATTGTTATATCATGACTGTAACGGACTTGTTGGAACAACCTTGCAACAAGTCTGATAATATCAACAAGGTTGTTACAATTTGTTAACATTTTGTTCCAGACTTGTTGACAACTTGGGACAAGCAGTACAAACACAACTTGTTGACGGCTTGTTGGCAGACTTGCCACAAGATGTGAGATTTTTACGTGTGCATAGCTCCGTCATTATGTGAACTTTTCAACAAAAGTTTATCGTCTGGTCAACTTCCGTCAGAAAGGAAGTTGTCCAATCCCAAAGAAAAGTCCACTTCATGAAGTTTCCAATTATAGATCAATTTCACTTCTATCGTTAGTCTCGAAGGTATTTGCGGAACGTTGCATTTACAATAGACTTATAGATCATATTTCAAGCAAACTGGATGAGTTACAGTATGGGTTTCAAAGAGGCAAGTCTACTACTTCCCAGCTTTTACATGTTCTTCCCAACATTCATAAAATGCTTGAAAAAAGATGCCAATTTGGCATCATTTACCTCGACTTCGCGAAAGCATTCGACAAAGTAAGTCATGACCTTTTACTTGTAAAACTCCATAACTTTGGTAATCTTCTTCAAAAATTATCTTTCTGGGCGTTTTCAAAGAGTCGCTGTACATGGTTTTACATCTCAGCCGCTCCCAGTACTATCCGGCGTTCGCCAAGGATCAATTTTTGGACCAATCCTCTTTCTAATCTACGTAAACGATCTTCCCGAAAGCGTCTCCCAAGATACTGCCGTGTCAATGTTCGCTGATGATACTAAATGTCATTGCGCTGTTCGCAATCTTCAAGACAAAGAAATCCTACAATCAGAACTTGACAATATTACCAACTGGTGTCAAGACTGGAGTCAAGACAATTTGTAAAACTTTGAAAACACGCGTGAAATTAAACCTTAATTTTACTTACTTACTTAACTTTACTTTTACCTATACAAATCAACGAATTTCATACTTTTAGACTTACTTGCACCTCTTGTCAGATTTGTGCAGGCATCTACTTTAAATCCCAGCGACTAAACGCTGAATAGATCAACAGAGCGTCCTGATTTATTGCGGATATTTGCGGTAAACGGGTATGTCGATTGATTCGCGAAAACGGATACCGTATTTACTCATTTGAGCACCGCGGCGGCGCTCTTTAAATTTTCAGAGCTTCAGATGCGGCGCTCTTTAAAAAAAATATTTTATTTGTGAATTATAACAAGAACTTTTATCAATGAAATAAACAAGTTTTAAATGTCTTTGTTACTAAATGTCTCCATTTTGACGGGGGAAAGTTTTTACACCGTTTAGTGCGGCGCTCATTCTGGGGCGGCACTAAGAAACTCGTGCGTCATAAAACGTCGTAAAACTGAACACCCACATTCTGTCGACTATATATATTTCTGCCTCCTCCGCAGGCCCTCGTTGCGTCATGGGAAGGTCACACAATCTGGCAAGGGTCGTCACGTCCGCAAATAAATTTATACATAATCATGAATATAAATAGATATAAAAAAGCGGTGTGAAACTTGTAAATTAAAATGGCGACTCTTAGGACGTGGAACTCGGTTGGAAGGAAGAATTTTTTAATGATAAGGTTTGTTGTCCACACCAACGTTGCACGAATAGAACTGCCTTCTTTAGCGAAGCAGGTTTAGAACAACATTTATTCATTTTACAAGATTCTGCAGGCCCCGGCTCGAAATCGTGACCTTCCTATGACACAACAAGGGCCTGCGGAGATAGCCTGCGAACAGGCTCTCAAGCTGAATTGAGAGCCTGCATCGATAACTAATGAATTTGAATATCTGCCCCGTAACGTTCGTTTTTCCAAATATGGAATGTCTATCCTTATATGGTGTTGTTTACAACTTTCGTGCAAACTAAATTTAGACCGTGCAAACTAAATTTAGACCGTACAGTCTATACTGTTTTTCGAAATATAAGATATTCAAACAAAAGTTTAAATGTTTTAAATACTGTTTTCTCAAAACAGAACATTTCGTGCTTTGAGATAAGATGGCCAAGACCAATTTGATCAGTTAATGTGTTTTTTATGCATAGTGCTTCAGCAGTTGACATATATAGAGCTCAGCGGAAACATATAAATTATAGCATCTGACCAATGAGAATTTCGCGTCATGATTTGAGACGCAGATATTCAAATTCATTAGTCATCGATGCAGGCTCTCAATTCAGCTTGAGAGCCTGTTCGCAGGCTAGCGGAGAAGGCAGTATATATATATATATATATATATATATATATATATATATATATATATATATATATATATATATATATATATATATATATATATATATATATATATATATATATATATATATATATATATATATATATATATATAT